CATTGCTTTTGAATATTAATTTTAGACGTCTATTTTTAAATTTTAATGTTAAAAGACTGAATGGTTTTGCATTTAACGATTGAACTGTGTAGCCTTTGAACTTTTGACCATTTCATCATCAGCTCACTATAGAACCCCATTGAATGGCTCGGAGCATACCCTAAGTTAGGCGTGACTAGGTTATAGTCAACCACGCTGGTCTAGTGCGGGTCGATTGATTTCACAAATATCTGTTAATTTCTTCAAATAAGATATGTTGCAGGTTGTATCACGAAGTTTTCCTTCAACGTAAGATCGTGGGATAAATGGTAGATAGCGGTATTCGGACCCAGGACCTGTAGATTTCAAGGTAAGCCATGGGCTACTCACGCTCTGGACCTGACCTGACCATGCAATATTGATTGTAATTAATTTGAATAATTCTATTTAAATTTTCGTTTCATATCCGTAGGAAGTGGATCATAAAAGATTGAAAGGTAATACAGGGAAAATTTCATGTTAATTCCTTCTGAGGTCTGGGAGCTAAGCCGGGGATTGTATCGCGTTTGACCCTTAACTGCTTACATAATTGCCTGTAAGCTTTTGGGAATTAGATTCGTGGAACGTGCGAGATTTGTTTTTTATTCTCTTGGAAATATACAAAAAACAAATGATATTTATATGTAAAGTAAATCGATTCATCATCATCATCAGCTCACTATACGTCCCCATCGAGGGGCTCGGAGCTTACCCTAATTAAGGGTGATTAGGCCATAGTTAACCACGCTGGCCAAGTGCGGGTTGGTTGACTTCACACGTATCTTTGAATTTCTTCTCAGATATGTGCAGGTTGCATCACGATGTTTTCCTTCACCGTAAGAACGTCGGATAAATGTACATATGTTAATCGGTAATCGAGAAAACACGTTGGCACATGGCAGGATCGAACCCAGGACCTGCAGATTGCAAGTCAAGTGTTTGACCACTGAGTCACCGACGCTGTAAGTAAATCGATTATTACTAATATTTTTTTTATTTAATTTCAGACGTTCTTCTTTCCATATTTAAATGACTTATTATCAATGCCATTACAAAAATAAAAATAATTATAAAATAATTATACAGCATTTATTATAGAAAGAAAAATAAATTAAATTTTTTGTAAAGAATTTTGTACCGTAATAATTAATTTAATTTTATAAAAACTTAATAACTATTACATAAAGATTATTATAATAATTTCTACAAAAAATATTATAATCTTAATTAATTCGAACAATATATCTTTAGAACTTCTTTGATTAAGCCTTAAAATAAACTTCTATGAGGCAATTTATAAAATCCACACTCGTAGCAGATGGGACGCCGTAGCATCGTGCTACGGAGACAAATGGAACAGCTTAGCTTTGGGATATCCCCTAACATACGAACATACACCTTCTGTACATTAATCCTTGCATTCGAAGCGATTTGAGCTTTCTACGTGCATTGTTCGTATTGCAAAGTTCGCCACGTATGCTACAGAGGGTTCCAAATGATAATTTTATTAATCTCTTTTCAACCTATTCTTATAAGGAACTAGCTGACGCCCGCGACTCCGTCCGCGTGTATATATAAAAAACTTAATTAGTGTAACCCACCCAACCATCCATCCACATCACATCCATCTAAACATTCGCATTTATTATAATATATTAGTAAGTTAAATAAAAAGAAGCTCTTCAAGGCATAAATTCGAAAAAAAAATGAATAAGTAGTAACCTATGTCCGCCTCCTGGCTGTAAGCTACCTCCTCACCAAATTTTAGGCATATCGGTAAAGTCATTCTTGAGTTATAAATAGTGTAACTAACACGATTTTCTTTTACATATATAGATATTGCCGTCTCTATTTTGTCTAAGCAGGAAGTAAAGGATGACAATAATCTGATACAAATATACACTCAACTGAATTCTGCAGTAACGTTTTTAAACTAGTGTTTTAATAAATATTAATCTTGCTAGTATTATAAACGCAAATGTTTAAATGGATGGATTTATTAGAAGGTATCTCCAGAACGGCTGCATGGATCTTACTGAAATTTTGCATAGATATAAAACATAGTCTGAAAGAACACATAGGCTACTACTTATTTTGTTTTAATCTGAACGGACATAGTCGCGAGCAATAGCTGTATATCGATAAAAATTGAATCTATTTAATTAAAATAGGTAATATAGTAAAGAGTGATCGGCAAAGTACAAAATAACTCCTATTTTTACGTTTAAATGTATAATTATCGTAAAACAATTTTCATGATTATATAGCACTTTACAAAATTTTAATACAGTTTTAGTAGAATTACTTTTCAAAATGAATTCTGTAGATAATTTTCATGAGAATAAAGTCCATGAAAGGATGTGAAGCCTTGAGTCTTATCCGCACGGATGAATTACGTTTCTACGTAACAAAGAAACTTTTCCTCTGTATGAAAATTCCTTAACAAGAAGGTATTTTAAATTTTTTATAATTTCCATAAGAAAAAATTTATACTACGAATATTATTTACATATTTATTCAACCTTCTATGATAAACTTATTGGGTTTTCTTTGCCAAATTACACGATGACGAAAGACCTTATTTTGTATGCAAGTGGTTTAAATTTAGTCCACGTTCTCTTTTCAACCTATTCTTATAAGAAACTAGCTGTCGCCCGCGACTCCGTCCGCGTGGATATATAAAAAACTTAATTAGTGTAGCCTATGTGTTCTTTCAGACTATGTTTTATACGTGTGCCAAATTTAATCCGTTCAGTCGTTCTAGAGATATCTTCAAACACCCATCCATCCATCCACATCACATCCATATAAAACATTCGCATTTATAATATTAGTAAGTTAAATAAAAAGAAGCTCTTCAAGGCGCAAATTCGAAAAAAGATGAACAAAATAGTGTAATATCCTGTGTCCGTCTCCTGGCTCTAAGCTACCTCTTCACCACTTTTCAGCCATATCGGTAAAGCCGTTCTTGAGTTATAAATAGTGTAACTAACACGACTTTCGAAAGACGAAAACGAACGAAGAACGAAAGATGAAAAGTTGAAAGAGAAGTGGATTTGGTAGGGGAGGGGACGCAACGGGAAATATACTATTATTAAAGGCAAGCACCTGCAATTGCGGTTGTCTATGAGCAGCGTTTGCTTGGCTATTTCATATTTAGGGGCCCCGCTTGCTTCTTCACCAACTTATAATAATAAAACTCCAAAGCTCTAAGGTTTAAAACAGTTTAAAGATAGTCAGAAGATAATGTCTTAATCATCCAGCATAAAACAAAAGAGACTCGAGCTTTCGTCTTTTATTTTATCAACGGTTCCTACTTTACATTGTCTGAATAGTACCCATTTCACTTCCGCTGTAGGAACATCGTTACTATTTTCTTCTAAAACGTCTTGTCCGTGACAAGGGTCGAGTGTAGCTTAAGTTACATCGCTATAATTAAGACCGGCTCTTTACTGTCGATGTAAAATACGTGTGTGAATAAATTTCCCTTCCATTCAATCTATGTGATGGCGCACCAGTTTTCTCTAAATCGATCTATCATTCATCAATAATTTCTTGTGATAAGTTATGTAATGCCCCTCAAAAAAGAGGAAAAGAGAGCATCGGCGGCTCAGGGGTTAGCACTTGAATTGTAAACTGCAGGTCCTGATTTCGAATCCTGCAATGTACCATTGTGTTTTTCTATTTTCGATTAACATATGAACATATCCAATGTTCTTACGGTGAAGGAAAAGATCGTGATGCAACCTGCACATATCTGTGAAGAAAATCAAAGGTATATGTGAAGTCAACCTGCACTGGGCCAGCCTGGTTGACTATGGCCTAGTCATCCTTAACTTATAGGCTTTGAGTCCCGCAGTTTCGACGTATGAAGACTGTCCCTACCTTTTGTAGGAAATGAGCAAGCTGATAATGAATTAACTTTAGTGGCATATGACATATTCACATAATATGTTTATATGTCAACATCTACAACAGTTATTGGTTGTTAACTTGATTTGGCTCGAGCCTGGTTATTGCATTTAGTAATTGGGGCATTTGGATATCGTCCAGGGAATTAAATTACCGTTTGCCTGATTCCCCAGCACTTAATGTTATATCAGTTTGAACTATTCTAGTGATATGGCTTAAGTACACTTTATTTGATAGCTTAGTGTAAAAACCATTCGAATTATTTGCAATTTCACTATTTGGCATTGCCTTTAGAACGTTGTTGGTCGTGATTTCATCAGCGAATGCTTCAGGTGCTCGATTATTATGACAAAAGCAAAGAAAAACTTAAGCAATCTTACATTTTTCCAGGATAAAAAAAACATCCAGATCTTTTTTGCTGTTCTCAAAAATTCATCCATCTTTCAAACATTGGCATTGATATTATTTAGATTAAGACTAGATGTAACTATATACAATTATTTCGATTCTAAAACATATTATAGCTTTATACGCCATTTCAAGCAGGATGACGATCCGTGTAGATCCAGCACGTAGTCCCGCCAAATTCTTCAGTAAATGAAGTCACGTTGCACGCATTTGCCACGTGTATAGGAATTCGTTGAAAATGTACATTATTATTTAATATAGGCACATTTATTTTTAATCAACTAGGAAAAGTAAGCGAGTTAATTTAATCTTGACTGTAGTATAATTTAAATTATTCAAATTTTCGTGAGAGATTATAATAAACTTATATAAAAACGGCTAAACACTCACGTATATTCATCCGGTGGCGGCACCGACTAGTTTCGAGCCCATCGGGGGCCTTCATCAGGGTGATTGGGACTGGTATTATTTCGCGGACGCGGCCCGTTGCTCCAGAATAAATACTCCCACTCACCCTGATGAAGGCTCCCGATGGGCTCTAAACTACTGGGTGCCGCCACCGGACGAATATACGTGAGTGTTATCATTTTTCATAAAGACGTATTAGACTTAAAATTATTTCAAAACAATAACATTGAAATAACAAAAGTAAAAGACAATAATAAAGGTTTTGAACCAATTGCTTTTTATTATTTAGTTACATCGTTAATCCGTACAACAAAGCCAAGTATTTTGCCAATAAAGGAGTAGTCTCTGGCAAGATATTGATTATGGAATATCTGTCCCTTTTATCTGGGAGATCAAGCAGATGGTTTTTCTTCGGAAACATTTGTAGCTCGAGATATCGCAGATTCGCTGTCGTCTGACGTCGCCTCACAAGATAATGAAGGGAATTTCTTGTACAACGCCGCTCGATATCTTGGATGACTGTAAAAATATAATGAATCAGATAAACTATATTAATATTGTGGGAGTTGATACCGGAATTTTAATTGTACGCCTACCTTAAGCCCAAGTGTAGTACCAAGAGTAAATAAAATAAAAAATCAAATCAAAATCCTAATAAGAATTAGTTACCTGATACCGTATACAATGGGGTTGTAAACAGCATTAGCCTTGGCGAAAAGTGAGCCCCAGATGGTGGCTAGTGGGCTGATAGGAGCGCTCTCGAAGATGCCCGTGAAGTTGATGATGAGATACGGCGTCCAGGCCATGAACCATAAAGATATCGTCATTAGTGCCACCTATAAAAAATAAATAACTATCAGGATTACCGACCCTAGGAATATTGCGATTTGTTAGTTTTGATTACGATGCGGGTATTTTTTTATAAGACAAGGGGACAAACGAACAGTGGGAACATCGAGGTGTTCATCGACGCGCATGGACATCTGCATGTTGTATTTGTCGTTAATTAGATTTCTTACTTGTCTATGAGCACTTACCTTAGCCAATTTACATTCAGTGCTAGCGTTGGCTGTCTCAGATGACCTAAGCGAAGCAACATTCATCTTCTTAGCTTGTTCTCGCATAGTCTTCTCATGAGCAGCCACCGCCTGAAAATCATATGGTGAAAACAATACGATTAGGAATTATAATTAAGAAGAAATTTTACATGTTGTGAGAAACTTTACCTTTACAATGAAGAAATAGGAATAGATGATAAGTAAAAGTGGCGCGAAGTAGACAAAAATTGAGTACACGAGGATGTAGCTGCGGCTGTTCCAGTTCTTAGTTAGGTAATCAGTTCCACATGCTGTCATGTTTCCCTCCGGCACATATCTGAAAGTATCATCATGATTCAAATATATAAGCTTGAATGATTAAATCTCATTATGACTATTGAACAGAATCCTAAGTCCATAACCGGATTATCTCTCAATATTAGTTGGTACGATTCTGTTGCAGTCTACTAATATATAATAAATAATTGTATTTCTACAATATTCTTCCCAAGTAGAGTTGGCGTCATGCAAGCTGTAAAGATTAAGTCAAAATCTTAAGGATCATAAAACCTCGTGTGCCGACCCTACATGAATAGGATAAGGCCATGAAGAGGGATAATAGTCAGACAACGCATAATGAATAAATGAATGTAATTATACATTACCTATTCCATCCAAAGAACGGGGCCAGAGTCCAAGCTAAGGCAGCAATCCAAACCGCAAGAATACGTGCCAGTGCGCCGTTCTTACTCATGGGTTTAGCAGCGATACCTTTTACGATGACATTGTATCGATCAAATGCTATCATTGTCATAGTCCATATTGACACACAACCGAATAGTGATCCAGCACAACCGTACAGCTCACAGGCAAAAGGACCTGAAAGTAAAAGAAGAATTAAAAAGAACGCTGTTGTTAAAAAAAAGATGGATGAAAGTTTGTTACAAGGCGGCTGTATAGATGATGGATATAAATAAAATTTGGCATAGATGTACGATAGAATATAGTCTGGAAGAACACAAAAGCTACTGAAATTTTTTTAATACCGCGCGGACAGAGTCGTTGGCGACAGCTAGTGGTTAATAAAATGTTCGTATACTAACCGAATACCCAAGTTTCATTGTAACAGTTAATAACCATTGCAGGGGCCATCGCACACATCATCAAAAAGTCGGAGAAGGCAAGATTGACGACGAGCAAATTGGAAGGCGTCTTAAGATTCTGTAAACAAGTGAAACGTTTTAATAATAACTCATATTAGTAACATTAATGAGGGAATTGTTAAAATACCTTAGTAGATGTAAAAATGTAGATAACCATTCCATTACCAATGATGGATATAAAGCCAAGAACACCTATAGTGAAGCCTAAAAGACCATGCCATAATGGATTCATGGGTGGAAATTGGTACCTGCAAATAAGACGATTGATAAAAATATACTGGACCATAATTATTAAAATATTGTAAAAATGATTGTTTTTTAATATCACAAGGTGGCAAACGAGCGAGTGGCCACCTAATATCGCTGTAATAGCGAAGTGACCGTTGCCCATAGACATATGCAATTGCCTATGCGTTGCCTACCTTTAATCGACGGAGGAGAGGATGCACAGAGAGAAAATATTTTCCCTTTCCATGCATCCTCTCATCCACTTCCACTTCCCATCCTTTCCTTATAAGAAAAAGGGTGGGAAGGGAAAGAGGATTAAATTAGGCCTCCGGGACGCATACTCGGCAGACGAAACGCGAAATAGCTTCCACTTTACGCCTGTCTACTGTGTGGTCGTGGTATTTCACCGGGCGAGCCGGGCCAATTCGTGCGAAGATGTTAAAGTTCTACCACTGTTAAAGATGTATCCTTTACTCTTAAGAGTTCAGTCTCTCTGTTTAAAGTTTTATGAAATACGTGCTTAAAGTAAAATATAGAAAGGCTTACCAGTGTGGGTCGATTAAATCCATCATATCAGCTGGAACCATGTCTACTACAGTTTGGTTACTGCCGTACATCATCTTGCCGTCTAATGGAAAATAATAAGTATTATAAGAGAAGAAAAAAAGACAAAGAGAACTGTGCCTCTAGTAAGAAAGTAGGAAAACGTTTTTATCAATAGTAATTTATAAGTTTACTTTGATCATTTAAAATGGAATGAGGATTACTAAGAAGATCCTTAATGGTAATTTTTATAAGAAATCCACGTTAATAAAGTATACTTAAGTGGCAATTAAGGACCCTGAACATTATTAAAGACTCTCTAGAACAGTTTGAAAGTATTTACCTTTTGGTTTTGTATAATAGTTGGAATCAGGAAGTTAGGCTAAAACCAAAGACTTGGAGAAAATCAATATGAACTACTCCAGTCTTTGGTACACCTTCCCTGTTCGGGTTGCCGGGGCTAGTCGGAGACTACTCGTTTACTTCAAGAAAGAAACACCTTTTATACTAATATTTTACGGGATTAACATTTGTAACTAGAAATCCAATATTCATAATTAGATATTATTCTTGTAGGTGAGGTGACATTGGTACTTAAAGGTTAATCAAATTTGGGAAATAAGTAGTGTTTTGGGAAATTTAGAATGTGGACTAGTCCAAAATTACTCGCTGCCAACAACTGGGGGGGGGGGAGGTGTCTTAGTAGGTTAGTCTAGGATTCGTGCCCGTGGTCCCGTCCCGATGCGTTGGAGGAACAGAGGGTTTTAGTGGGTATGCCTCCGCTATGGAGGAGAATCCCACATAACTACCGCGTCCCCCGGGGCGCGGAGTATGCATAAAGCATTCCTCTCTGAAAAAAAAGGAGTAGCCTATAAGATAGTTTAGATGGATAGATTGATGTTTGTTAGAAGATATCTCCAGAACGGCCGAACAGATCTCGCTGTAATTTGGCATAGATGTAGAACATAGTCTGGAAGAACACATAGACTACTTAATAATTTTTTTTATAATTCCATACGAACGGAATTACAGTTACGTGCGACAGTTACTTTTAAAATTTTAAAAGAGATATTTAAATTTTTTTTTTTATATTACTCAATCCATTTTTCCAAACCGGACAGTGGAGTAGTAAATTCGCATATGAATATAAATTTCACAAAAAGGTTTCGATAAGAATGAATTATGGCGGACTTATAACACTTACCTGCCTTCAAATTCCTTTGTCTTATAGAAATTTATGGTTGCAAGATAAATCTTGAACGTGCGGTATCAATTCCGTACAGTATTATATGCAATTCTAAAATTCAATTTAACATATGAATAGTTTCAAATAATAATAAACAAAACAATTGATGCGTCTATTTATTTTTACTCTATGAATCGGGTTTATTGTTGTCAAAGATCAAAGTGAAATTAGGTATAGCTAACGTTAATTTGGTGAAGAAAAGTTTAAATCTGTTTTAAAAAAAAATATTTAATTATTGTCAAACGAACAATAGGTCGTCAAGTAATTTAATAAACACGTAATTTTTTTTTTCTAAGAGCAAATTCAAACAAAGTGATGTGTTGATGTGATGATTTACAAAAAAATTACCGTTGAATTTTCATTTTTACAAATTAAATTTAAAAAATCCCAATTTTATTTTTATAATTTCAATAGACTTTAATGTCTTAGGATTGATTTCTTATTTTGTATAAATATCGTTTATATAAAATAAATCTGTATAGTGAAGAGTAAACAGAGCTTTATGTAGTACTTTAGAAGCCACGCGGCTCGCACAAAGCTCTGCGTGGCGTGAGGTCAAGAGCTTTTGAATTATTTATCCGGAGCAAGGTGTTAGGAGCGTATAATGTTGCCAGATTAAGTGTAACGTACCCCTTATTTGTATTCTATTGTGAAACATCTTAGAAAATATACCTATAAAAGAATTGATACAATTCGCAATTTGTTACGCATACAGTTACTATTCGTGGTTGAATGATATGATGAATTAGCTCACAGGTTTATCGAAATTCGTGTATTCTTTATACTTGCTGTCGCCTGCAATTCTATCCGCGTGGGATTTGGAATAAACTAAATAAGTAGCCTATGTAACAGTTTTTACAGTGGTAGAGCCCGCTTTAACATCTCCGCACGAATTGGCCCGGCTCGCCCGGTGAAATACCACGACCACATAGAAGACAGGCGTGAAGTGGAAGCAATTCCGCGTTTCGTCTGATGAATGTGCGTCCCGAAGGCCTAATTTAGTCCTCTATCCCTTCCCACTCTTTTCCTTATAAGGAAAGGAAGGGAAGTGGTAGTGGACTTTCCGGATGAGAGGATGCATGGGAAGGGAAAATATTCTCTTTCTGTGCATCCTGTCCTCCGTCGATTAAAGGTAGGCAACACATATGCAATTGCGTATGTCTATGGGCAACGGTCACTTCGCTATTTAAGTGATTCCAGGTGGCCGCTCGCTCGTTTGCCACTTTATGATATAAAAGAAAGTTAATAGGGGATGAAAGTTTGAGAAAGTATTAGAATATGAGAGTTTTATGTGTTTTATATTTGTCGTAATATACTACAAGTTTTAATAAAATAAGTAGCCTAAATAAATAAAATACCACACAAAAACAGAATTTCACGGGGACGTTGTCGCAGGAACAGCTAGTTTATGATAAATAATATTATTATTTAGTTACGTACTATGTTATGTACGCGATGTGCGCCATTTCAGTACCACATTCACTGTATAAAAGGGCTGTTAAAATTATACGACAAAATATTGTTTCTCACGTATTATATTAATAGCAATACATTAAGGTTGTTTTGCAAATTTATCGTCTTACTGTTAAGGCGGAGTTTTATTACTCTACTTTAACAGCTGTCATATGTGAAATTTATTACGTTTTTTTATTTTCCACGCGAAAGCTATCATATAAAAGTATTTAATTAAACATCTCTTTTTATTATTTACGTTGACAGCAATTGAGACGCTGGTGGATGACCGATTATCAGCGGAGAAGCGAAAGCTCACAGACTCCGATGGATGGGTCATCTTATGAGGACGGGGGAAGATCGAAAGGCCAAAGCCCCGGAAAGGACCCCGACTGGCCGCCGACCCATCGGCCGGTCCAGGTACTGCTGGCGATACGCCGTAGAGCTGGAACTGCGGGAGCTACATGCTATGAACTGGCAGGAGAAGACGTAAGACCCACTTTGGGTCAATGCGGAGTAGTAGTAGTCGGTTGACAGAATTTTTATTAAGTACACATTTACCAAGAGTATATCATGAATATTTTCGTGATATTGCGAGAACGTATACGTAACGTGTTCGATATAATTTGTATGAGAATTGTTGGACGATAAAGATACGAAAATTTTTCATAAATAATCCTACTAGGTCCCCAGTTTTTACACGCGTGTGTTTTAATATTCGGCATGTAAAATTAAAACTGAAAGTGTGTAGTGGGCTTTAAACTTAAGACTCTATATATAAAATGCAGCTAAAGTTCGAATAAAAGTGCCTTCAAACGTATGCCATTACGATCCTCATTCAATGAAAGTAACGTATTCTGTCGTTTCACTCGAGCGGACTATGAAGCCCTGGTACAAAAGTGAACTTGCAATTCCAATTAAAATGTAGTTCCGACGAAAATTTTCATTACGTTACTCGACAGACTTGGTCAATAGCCATTTGTCGTTTGACGTAAAAGCTTTTAACTAGCTTTCATAACTGTACAGCTCTATTTCATTACGGGGATTTATTTTGTGTTTAAAAATAATAAAATAACTAAAGTTATGCAACGACTCATAGATAACCTATTTTATTGTTAAAAAAAAGGTTTTAGACAGACAGACATACGGACGGACAACAAAGTGATCTTATAAGGGTTCCGTAAGTTTCCTATCAGGTACAGAACTCTAAAAATTAAATAAAAAGATAAGAAAAAATAAAAGAAAGAAGAATTATAAGTGTACGTTAACTAACGCGATATTAGCGATTATAATTATATCAAAGTACCAGGAGTACAGAAAAGGAAACAGTTGACGAAAACAAAATCGCACGCAAAGCCGTGTACACTAACTAGTTGTAGGTTTCAAATTATTATCTTACTAATATTATAAATGCGAATGTGTAGATGGCTGTATGAGTTTTGCTTAAATTTAACATACATATAGAACATAAACTGCAAGAACACATAGGCTACTATTATAATTATGTTTCTTGTAATTCCGCGTGTATATAGTCGTTAGCGAAAGCTATAAATAGTTATAAATTGCAAATAAACCAAATTATATTTAAATCGGAAATAATAAATCAGTTTGTAAAATGTATTTTTGTCGATTTATGCGTGGATTAGTTTATAATTGCGTTTCGAATTTGTAACTGTTCGATCATAAATATTCGCGAGCTCAATAAAGTATCATTGTTCAGCAACATTAATTCCTTGCATTACGACTGGGATTAGTATGGTTATAGCTTGTTGCCGGTATATTTTGTTTTAAATTCCAGTTATTGGGGAAACTTTTGTTTTATTTTTCTGTATTCACCAAAGAGAATTTAAGCGAAATGTTATTGACCTATTAAATAGTGAAAATATATTTTTTTTCAAACAAGTTTAGTGTCAAAGAATTTAATTTCCGACCCACTATTATGATAAAATAATCTTGTAAATTTGTATGTCACTAAATCGCTCACATTACGCATCTATTATTTAAATATTGATATATATATTTTTAGTGAGTAGAAAACAATATTATGCGAATAAATTTGTAATGAAAAGCGATGGTTATATTATAAATATAATAACGTTGCAATAGGGTAGTAAACTAAAGTCCTCGACTGTATCTACATAATATTGACTATGTATCATGACAGGCAAGGCGACTGAAGAGTATATAACGAACCTGCGTGTTCCTAGTATATAAACTCATGAATTATGTATTCTCGGACGTATGCTGTTCGCAAACTCGAGCTGTGGACGCCGTGGAACGAATTTACATACCCGTCCACAAGTTGGCGAAAAGTAGCTACACTTTTACATAAGACTCCGAAGTTTTACTTTTTCTATTTTTTTAAAAACTTAGAACAAAAATGCAAGGGAATGAAGCATGAAATCAATAGTCAATATCTTAGTATCTTCCTAATATTATAAACGAGCTATCGCCCGCGATACCGTCCGCGCGGTATTATGCCTTAATTAATAGCCTTTGTGTTCCTCCAAACTATGTTCTACATTTATGCAAAATTCCAGAGAGATCTATGCAGCCGTTTGGAGATACCTTCTAACATACATTCATTCATCCAAACATTTGCATTTATAATATTAGTAAAACTTAATGTTTGGATGAATGTTAATGACATATAAAATTCTCGTGTCACAATTTTCGTTCCCATACTCCTTCGAAACGGCTTGACTGATTCTCATGAAATTTTGTGAGCATATTGAGTAGGTCTGAGAATCGGTCAACATCTATT